GCGGGTGTCTAACGGCTGGTTCCAAGCCAGGGTATCTGAGATCCAGGACGGTCGTAATACACATCCCCCCTTTCTTGCTCCCAAACGAAGCCGCCAGACGCCGCCGCATGCCCAACGAGTGAGTTCCAAAAGCCTCAGGCGTTTGGGTACCATAAGAGGCTCCAGCTCGAGGCCCTGATTGCTCCACCTTCTTGATGATGAGATACCGTTTTGAAGTGCCTCCGAACCTACGAAGTTTGCGGCTCTGCTGCGCTGCATTGACGACGCGTTGCCCGCGAATTTGACGAGCTTGTCCTTTGCTTGCACTAGTGTCCACGAGTAAGTAGGACGCTTGCAAAACTGGCGTAATATCAACTCCCTTCTGCTTCAGCCTCTGAGTGACGTGCTTGGCCACTTGTTGGATTGAACAACACACCGCGCTCTCGCTTGCGAGCGTTAGGGACTCCTGCTCAGAAAGGTTAGTGAGATCGCTGACGCTCTCATCAAGGAGTCTCCCACATGATGCTGAGAACCTAGCGCGCCAAGGTAGAGATCATCAATCCATATTATTCCCCCCATCCCTGGAGTCATGACGTGCATCCGTTCCAAAATCTAACATGTCACGCATCTGGCGAACATGGTACCTCCTCCTATCCTTTGGATGATGGGCTGCGTAGGTTGAAATCCTTCCGGATGTGCCCCAAGCTGCGACAAGATGCGCGCTGCCGTGCGCAGTTACAGCTTTAAACACAACAGTACGGGCGGGCGGACATCCTAGCCTGAGTGCGGCAATGACCAGTTTGTTGAACTTGATTCTGTCATGGAAACTCTTGGTAACCAAAACCGTTTGGCCGCATGCGGCCTGGAGATTCCCGCCGATTCCCGCAGCCAGGATCCCTTGAAAACGCTTCCAGGAGAGTTGAGTTGCCCTCAACTGAAGCATCCCAGGCAGGCGCCGTGTCGAGTGACCACTGGTTGGTCAAATCATCTCTGGCTAAGCTCCAGCTGCGGCAAAATAACCAGGCAGTAATCCTATGACGCGATCTCCTGGCGACTGTTTGGGTACTAGGCGACCGATTTACACCATCATCTGCTACGGCCATGTCAACGCCCCCTCGATGGCCTCATAGACTTGCGCGAGATCCTGCAGAGCATTATCTGGAAGGCGTTCGATCGGTCGGGCTGAGCTTGTCGATGCCCATGCCTGCCTTTGATTTCATGATGCTGGCGGCGCTGCGAATTTGCCGGGGTTCCAGGGGGACCAGTTGTTCTTGTTCGGTTTGCGCAGCTTCTCGAACGAGGCTAAACATCTCAACCATGGTATCTGGATCCAGGGCTTCGGGGGCCCACAGAGACTGGAACTGCTTGACTTTGGCATCAAGAATGTTCCTGGGGTGACACAGCCTTCTGCCTTGATCTGGGTACTCTTCGGCTGCGAGGGGTGCACCTCGCAGGCTGCGGCGCACTGCGCCCGGCGAGCTTTCCTGGGCGATTCAGCCCTGGAAAGACCTAAGTGAAGCCTGAACAGCTCGACGCCTGGAGCGTTGTGCAACCCTCCCTGCCTGCGCGTGCATGCGTTCGAGTAACCCAATGCTTTGCTGCGTGGCATCTCCTAATATGTGAACCCGATGCTCCCGCGAGAAATACCGGCGACCTGCAACGATGACTGCCTGCGCGCCTTCAGGAGAGTCCTACGAAAGCTTCTTGACCACAACCGCGGGAGTCACGATCTGCTGCGTCCCGTTGTCTCTGACTCTGCGCTGGTGCAGTCTGCTTAAAACAGCGCGAAGCCGCGACCACCATGCGGCAACTTGGTCGCTGGCAGGAGTGTCCCTGATGCGTTCAGCTTTATGGGCGGTATGCATGGCATGTTGAGGAGAATCTCCGCCCTAGACTACCCTTCAAAGACTTGCCCTTGACGCTCCAAGATGCTGCGATCAACGGTACGAATCCAAGAAGCGCACATACCACTGACATGCATGACATGTGCTCCACCAACCACAAAGGCGCCTGAATAAGCTATGACATGCCATGCCTGCTCCACAGATTGGTGGCAGAAGCACGCGCGGGTCTTGTTGGCATCCCAGAGGTCACAGGGGATGTAGAATTGGGGTCCTCCTACCTCTGCTGCCTCAGCCCTAGATACACCTATCCTACGGGGTCCATCTCCAGCCTCGAGCCTCGCTTCAGCTGTGGGGGTCCTGGTGGCGGGGCGGCTCATTTTGCTGACTGGCACTATGCTGAGACTGCTGCGATCTAACCTTTAGAAAGGGGCTCCTGCGACCAGGGGTCGGGCTCTTCCTCCGCTTCGGACCCAGGGTCTTCGGAGTCCTCCTCAGGACCGGCCTGGCTGGCGGCGTCCTGGCAGCAAGTCTCCATTCAAAAATATTGGAAAACAATGGTCTGGGGACGGTTTCGTGACAATTCTTTACCATTTGTGGGTATTGTTTGATTATTTGCTCTTCCAAAATCCGCCTGTCGGGACCGACCGCCGTGCGGAGTCTCCGACAAGTGGCATGTCTCCTGGAACGTTTGCTGAAAGGCCGTGCGTTCCGTTTTTTAAGCTTGCTGGCTTGCGACCTGCCACCTACCTGGGCTGCTCGACTGGGCCTCTGACCCTGTGGCAACTTCTTGGGTATAGTATAATCAGACATCGAGTAACGAGCTCCAAGCCTTCGCTACGCAGCTTCACCGACAGACCGCAATGCGTGCCCCATGGCGCGTCGAGGACTGACGAAATCCATGGAATGTATGGCGCCGCAGCTTTGGACGCAAGCACAAAGTCAAAGTGTGACGCACCTGTGCCTGTGATGCAAGTGCGTTCTAGATCCGAAGTGAAACTTGCCCCCCCGACCTTCTCGATATACCCACGCCGAGCGAGGTCCTTGGAGCTCATATTCAAGCCTCCTACCATAATCCAGGAAATCTGCAAGGAGGCCAGTCGAGCCCCTACTCTGGAAAGCCTTCCAGCATTATTTAAGCCCAGCGAGGAGATGCCCTAAAATGAGAGAATACTTAAGCTATGCCCTTGGAAATGGGCAGCTACAGGGAGAAATCCATCAACGGCCTCCGACGTCTCACTAAGCTCGGGGTAACCGCTGGGATATGGCGAGCGAGTGTACCTGTCGATGACCTCGGGCTAAGATCAACTCCCCCCCCTCTCCTTTGGCTCGATCGCTGTCGACCTTAACTGGGCGAGGATGGTCGAAAAAGGCTCTGGACTTGGCGTTGCGAAACTTCCTGGCCCACTCTGGATGCTGCGCTGCCTGAATGCGTGTCTCTGCGAACGCGAATATCTGGTCCTGGGCGCGGACGACCTGTGGAGAGACGTACTTCCAGACCTGCGGTCCCCAACTTGTGACACTACTCAAGAACAATGATGTGGCGCCATCCTCCTGGGCCTGACCAGCCTCTGCCTCAGTCTCTCCCCCGGGAGGAGGCTCTTGAGACGTCGACGTCGTCATGGGAGAAGAAGCCTGTCTTGTTGATGTCGTCGCGCGGGCTGCAGGTTTTCCCGCACTCGTGGACACTCGTGGGCACTCGTGCACCCGCGATCTTCGTGCCCCCTTCCGCTGCTGCGAGCTTGGCTGCCTCGTGCATGCCTGGGACCTCCTGGGTTTGGTTGTCGGCGGCCGTCGATGCGCTTGCGCTGGCTGTGACAGTGGCGTTGCCACTCGCTGCCGCGCTCCCCGCATCGGTACATCCGCCGCCCCCATCGCCCGTCTCTGGCTATGTGGACTCCATCCCCCTCTTCTTCTGCTGCCGCCGATCCGTGGCCGTCTTCTTCACGGCCTCCATCCTAGTTTTCACCTCTTGCACCTTGCTACCTCTGTCGTTCAAAATGGCCTTGGCATGTCGAAGTTCACGTTCCAAAGTTCGTACTTATTCGCGTTCACCTTCTTCGCATTCGCATTCATCCAAACGACTGGCCCTGCGCGACATATATCCCAATCCCAGACTCTTGAGCAAGCAAGACGATGGCGTTCTTCTTGGAATACTCCGCTTTGGTCAAAGCAAATGCACATTCGTGCTCGCGCTTCTCAGCACGTCTAAGTTTCTTTCTGCATTTAGCCATTTGTGTTGCCGCTAGTTCATGTTTGGAAGTACAGTCTTTCCAAACGCTAGTAGCCCGGTTGACCGACCCATCCGTGCTGATGGGTTTGTTATTGGATGGTCTTCTTGCTTTGAGTGCACACATTTGTTCCAACAGTACTTTTCAGTGCTGATATTAGAAGGTTCTGCCAGCATCTTGGTCAACAGTGCTTGAACCTCGGTTGGGCTGGCGTCATTGCCTTTACCCTTGCCACTGCTCTTGGAAATACTATTCACAAAACAATCACTGATTGTTACTATCCTGCTTACTACGATCCTCGCTTTTATTTTCGGCTTGAATACTTTGACCGTGGAGCGACACTTGGGGCATTGACTGTTCCTATGTGTCAACACATCGTTCCACTCGTGTGTGTGTGTGTGTGTGACACCGACTGCATGTGCTCCAAATCGGAGCCTCCATTGTCTCACTCTTTTGCCTGACATCGCAACGTTCAGACAAATCGCCTGGTGCCCTGCTTTCGCTGCCAGTAACTGCTATCCACGTGGGAAGGAAGGACTTGCACCCCCCAGGCACCCCGAGGAGGCGCAGGGTTGGGCGCGTGTGCCTGCAAGATGTGGCTCGTGCCCGAATTGCTGGAGAGGGCGGGGGAGGGGAGGAGGAGGAGGAAGAGGAGGAGCGAGACGTCTTCGGCGCACAGCTCGTTGTGTCGTTGATGTGTCTTGAGCGCAACCCACTGGACTCCGTCCGTGGTGGCGGATGTGGCAGTGTCGCGCCACCCGCCTCTGCACGGGTGTGGTGGTGGAAGTGGCTTGGAGCGCCAGTCGCGCCGTGCATGCGGTGGCGCAAGTGCCGGTTGTGACATACATGTTGCGCCCCGGCTGATTCGAGGAGGAGGACGACGACGACGACGAACAGTAGCAAATGCGGCTGCTGTCTGGCCCCTCGTGGCCCGGTGGAAATCGCGGAGGAGCTCCTGGAAGGGTTGTCGGCGAGTGAGGATTACCATTGCTTCTTCAACTACATGAGCGCGGCGCCAGGGGGAAGGGAAGTCCCTGGACGACGGGTGCAATTTGCACGAGAAAGTATTCCAATCAGTTGCGTGAGCGAAGCATGCATGGGCAGCGCGATGTCGGTGGGCATGAGCAAGTGATGACGAACGCGGCACCCCCATGGAATATTCAAGAGAGTCCAGGGATCGCCCGCAGAGTAGCCCCCCCCACCCAAGGCTCCAAGAAGGCCTCAAGATAGACCAACGACCTGTCAAACACAGACACAAACACAGACAAACACACACACACGCACACGCACACGCACACACACACACACACACACACACACACAGAACACACACAAATGCCTTGTGTGCATTGTGCCCTACGAGGGTCTGAAGAGGGACCCAAGACCGGCCCAAAGGGACTCATTGGGCCACCAACGGAATGTATCACAAAAGAGTGCATAGTTGAGTTCCGTGGGGGGCCCTTCGGGGGCGCTCTCGAGGTCTTGCCCAACCCCGAGGATGCCCCAATAATGCCGTATGAAGGCCTCCAACGGGGTCGAGGTGGCGCCAATGGGGACTTACAACAAAGGAGTCCGTCGGTAGGCTCCAAGCACGACTCCTTGCACAGGGGGTGCCACAATGAAACCCCAAGGGGGGCCCAGGCCAGGGTAACCCTAAGACTTGGACGGCCCCCCACGGAACTTGCTATAAAGTGGGCCTTCCCGAAGCCCAAAGAAGGATGCCCCAGCAGAACCTACCACGAAGGGATCCCTAAGCAGGTTCTATGGGGGCACTCTTGAGGTCATCCCGAATCTCCCAGGATGCCACCATAAGACATTGAAAGGGGCCCAAGGGGACGCCTCGAGAAGTCTAAGGCCCCCCCCCCAGGGTAACCTACCACAAATTGGTCCTTCGGTTGGTTCCGCTGGATGTTCTTTGGGGGCATTCTTGAGGCCCTTGGCCGCCAAGCGCGCCCGAGGACGGCCCAACAGGCCCCAACGTGAACCACAAAGCTCCCAGGCGGCCCACGAGGGCCCCAAGAGGGCGTCCAAGATGGTCCCAAGATGGTTCGAGAGCCCCACGATGATGCAAAACGCTGTAACACACCCAATGATAGTCTCCAGCAGCCCACGAGGCCTCTGGGAGCGTTGACAACGCGACAAGGCGAGCAACAATTATGCAATAACCGATGGGGAATCGATGAGTTTGCATTTCGGGGCCCTCGCGGGGATCCTCTTGGGGTCCTCTTGGGAGCCCCTTGGGTCGTCTTGAGTCCGTGCTGGCCATGTTGGAACGCTCTTCGGCCGCCTCGGGGGCCTTGTGGACGGACCGGCTTGACGGCCTTTTGGAACCCTCTTTGGCTCGTCGAGGGGCCCTCTGGCATCGGGAAAAGTATTGCGACAGACCCCAATAATCCTGCGATAAGCCACACTAGCTCGGAGAATTGGGCGTCTCAGTAGTATTCCAAACATTCAGCATTGGGACCGAGGACTCCTGTGGACTCGAGGACGCTCCACTCAGCGCCTCGCGGTACGGTGGCGGATAAGTCCTCTGCTCTCTGCCATGCCATACATTCTCCACCGTTTACGCTCTGCTCTCTGCCGTGTCTGAGTTCTCCTAGACCTGGGGAACCCTGCCGCCCACCGAAATCGGCCCGCAAGTTTTGTCACATTCTGCAGTCTCCTCATGGACCCCTTCAGTGCGAGCGCTGTTTAGGGAGAAAGGGGTTCGCGCGGGAGCTTCCCGCGTAGGTCGCGCGTGAGCGCCCCTGTTTTCAGATCGTGTGCCAGTTAAGTGGCCTCCGTGAGCCACCCAGGCTTGTTGCGATGGGGATGAGCAGTCGATGCGTGTCAAACCCTATCCGAGTGCAGTGCTTTGTGTCAAGGGCATGACACCGCCCCTGCCCTGGTTTACGAGGCGCTGTGCCTCTGAAACTCCTGCGGGCTGACGGGGTAAACCCTGCGTGATGTGCCGCGTCCTGGCGGCTCCAGGTCTTGGGGGGTCCCAGGAGGCTTACAGGCCACGCACTTGTAACCCAGGGTAGGGCCGCTTTTCCATCCCTCACTTGTGTGTGTGTGCGTGTGTGTGCGTGTGTTTGTGGAACCTGTGCTTCCTGTGCTCTCGGTGCAGGTTCGGTCGCGGGCCCCACGTGCACGGGCAGCGCCGGGCGTTCTGGAAGACCCCCTTAGGGCGTGCCGGAGCGCCCTGGGATGGCCGCGGCGCACGTGGTGCGTCCTCAGTCTGGCAGCGCTCGGACGTGTGCACTTTTTGGAGGGCGAGGGCCATCGAGGAGCAGGAGGAGCTCCAGCCTCCAGCCTCCTCCTCCTCCTCCTCCTCCTCCTCCTCCTCCTCCTCCTCCACAATTACTCAATATGAATATACTCTCCCTCTTCCCCTGATGGCGTCCGGGTGATGGCCGCGCACCCTCCGCGTACTGTTGTTTTACACACAGAATGCCCGGGAAATCCCGGGAAACGACTCTCGCTGAGGCGCCGGCGTCATTTTTTCCCAAAATGCTGCTCTCGCGCCAGCGTCATTTTTTCCCAAAATGCTGCTCTCGTTGAGGCGCTGGCCTCATTTCTGCTCCCGAATCCTTCCCCTGATGGCGTCCGGGTGATGGCCGCGCACCCTCCGCGTACCGTTTTTTTCACACAGGATGCCCGGGAAATCCCGGGAAACGACTCTCGCTGAGGCGCCGGCGTCATTTTTTCCCAAAATGCTGCTCTCGTTGAGGCGCCGGCCTCATTTCTGCTCCCGAATCGTTCCGAATCGTGCTCCCGCTGCAGCGTGGGCCTCATTTTCGGATCGGTGTTTGGCCTCCGTCGTTCAGGATGGCGTTCTCGCCCCAGCGCGGGCCTTTTTCTCGCGCGCCCATCCGCCCGCCACCACCGCGCCGCACCGCCACCACCACCACCACCACCACCACCCACCACCACCACCACCACCACAACCACCACCAGCACCAGCACCAGTACCAACACCACCACCACCAGCACCACCACCACCACCAGCACCACCACCACCACCATCACCACCACCACCACCACCACAACCACCACCAGCACCAGCACCAGTACCAACACCACCACCACCACCAGCACCACCACCACCACAACCAGCACAACCACCACCATCACCACGACCACCACCACCACCACCACCACTACCACCACCACCACCACCACGACAACCACGCACACACGCACGCACGCACGCACGTGCACCACCACCCACTACGCACGCGCGCGCGGAGCCACAGGTCCGCTACGACACGCGTCCGCGGATAGAGAAAATCAGCGCCATGGTAAGGGATGGGAGGGAGGGGTAGGACGTCAGATATGACGCGAGCGCACCTAGCTTGTCGTCCTCCCCCTCCCCCTCCCCCTCCCCCTTCCCCTCTCCCCTTCAGGACACCACCACCGAGCTCAAAACAGCCCTCGGACCATCTTGCGCAAAATACGCACGCGAAGTCGAAAGACGCACGAGGAATGGACGTCCGAGCGATTGGCGAGCTGAAGAACCGCCAGATCTCAGAGATCCCCGATTTGTCCTGGTCCGAGCTCGTCCTTGTCCCGGTTTCGTCCTGGCGCACACGCACCGGAGGCCCTGGAGGCACGCCCAGAGCGGCCTCCTCTCACATCCACTGCCCCTTGTCACGGGTGCATGCACCCTCCCTGCTTGGACCAGGAGTCACACACAGCGCTCCTGGCTCCGGGCTCGGAGCAGGGTAAGTGTTTGCTCCCACCACGTTCTGGAAAGCCTTCTCGGGAGCGCGCTGGGTTCCGACAGCTGCTTTTGGTGGCATCTGTTTGTCGAAGGTGGCAGGATTTGTCCGCCCTGACCGGTGCCCGCAGCAAACAGTTACAGAGTCGCGGCGACGAGTTCACTCTGGAGCGGTGCGATTTATTTGTTCGGGGTTACACTTGCACGCCGTCGTAACCCGGAGGAGGGGGAATTGTCAGCACGGTAGCACCCTGCACGATGGTCGTTGAAGGTTGATATGATGGTGCCAATCGAAGCGTTGATGGTGGCGGCAAGGGGCAGCGGGTACTCTTCGCCCAAGGAGATCAGGCCGCTTTGCAGACGAGAGCCCCAAAGCCCTGCTACCCAGCGGACGGGCCGCAGCCTGGGTAGAGGGAGGCCAGGGGGTCAGCAAGCCGGCCCCCCGTTGCGACCCGAGGCCAGAGGTTTGGACACTCGGCGGCGGCGTCTGAAGCCTACCCTCGCCGATCCACGCTTCGGGCAACTCCCCGGGCGGCGGGGGCAGGGTGCGGAATTCGTCGACCGCGGGGCGGAGTCCGAGCCCTCTCCCAGCAGCCTCCCATGGATTCAGGAGAACCGATGGTTCGTGGGGGTAGGGTTCGGATCGTCGCCACCCAGTGCACATCACCGCCATCATCACCTCGCTGCGCGATAAACTCAGGAGGAAAAAAAACACGCAGACACAATTCATCGTCGACTCCCCAGAAAATATTGGAAATTATGGGAAGTGTGGGGGAAGACAAAAACCAAGAAAATATTTGAAAATATGGGACATCCTGTAATTTGTGTGTACTTATTTGTGTGTCCCAGGGCCCCTGGTTAATCATCACCTCGCTGCGCGATAAACTTGATTTCGCCCTGCTCTTCGGGCGCAGCAGTCCTGGCCTCGCAGCACTTATTCGGACCAGAGGTTGGGGAGTCGAAGGAAGGCCGGCCAAGCAATGAGCATGATCGACCCACGAACCCGGGAAGGGGTTTAGAACTGTGGAGCACGGCATCGTTGTCAAGACGTCAAACTTGGGCGACGGGCAATTACAGTGCTCAAGGTAGCGATTGTGACGTACCATGCCACGGGCTATGATGTAGTGCGCCGTGCTGTGCCGTGCTGTGCTGAATTAAACGTGTCACGCCGCGTTGAACCGTGCCGCAGTCTATTGCATTGTGGATCAAGCCGTCCTTGGTGTCACAATCGTGGTCGAACTGATTTGGATATTGAGCTCGAACTGCCTGAACGCATATCTCGGGCGAGTTGTAGTCGAGACGCGCGGTGCGCTCGACCAGCTCGAGCTCAAGATCCGATTCAGTTCCGAAGCCATCGCCCGAGACATTCAGTTCCGCAACGGAGCGAACCGAGCGCGACTACGACAGACGGGGGAGAAACATGCGGGGCGTTCAACCAGCTCGAAATCAAGATCCGATTCAGTTCCGAAGTGCGACGAACCGATCAAGGGGCGAATCCGAACCCAAACGAAAAGCACCGAGACGACGACAAGGCCCCCGCTCGACACCTCCTCAAACAATGGAAGAGCCAGCGTTTCGCGAGAGGCATCCTCAACACATCCTGCAGAAGGAGCCTTTCGCTGCAGCCAGGACCTCGCTCGAGACATCCTCAACAGATCCTGCAGAGCGAGCGTTTCGCCCTAGACATCCTCAAGGCATACTCATGTCAGTGACCCGCCTGGGCGGCCTAGGCACGTCAAGACCCGCGTTTCGCTGGACACACCCTGGACAAATCCTCATGTTAAAGATCCGCCTGGGCGACGTGGAACAAGCGTGAAAACACGTGGATCCTTTGTGCGCCAGGGCGGAACAAGCGTGAAGTCACGTGGGTCCCTTTCGCGCCACGGCGCCGCAGGCGTGAAAACACGTGGGCCCCTTTCGCCCCCGAGCGCAACAAGCGTGAAAGCATGTGGGTCATGTCGCCCCAGAGCGCAGCACGCGTGACATGTCATGGGTCCCTTTCGCCCCAGAGCGGAGCAAGAGTGAAAACACGTGGACCCCTTGCGCCCCATAATGCGATAAGCGTGAAAACATGTGGGTCCCTTTCGCCGCAGGGGGCCTCCCCAGGAGGCCGCAGGAGGCGCTCGAGACATCCTGCCCACATCCTCATGTTAGATATCCGCTTGGGTGACCTGGACACTTGAAAACAAACGTTTCGCTCAACAAACCCTCAACAAATCGTCACGCTAGACATCTGCCTGGGCGACCTGGACACGTGAAAACAAGCGTATCTCTCGAGACATCCTCAACACATCCTCATGTTAGACATCTGCCTGGGCGACCTGGACACGTGAAACCAAGCGTGTCGATCAATATATCCTCAGCACATCTTCATGCTAGAAATCCGCCTGGGCGACCTGGGCACGTGAAAACAAGCGTTTCCTTTAACACATCATCATGCTAGAAATCCGCCTGGGCGACCTGGACACGTGAAAACAAGCGTCTCTCTCGAGACATCCTCAACCCATGTTCACGTTAGACATCCGCCTGGGCGACCTGGGCACGTGACAACAAGCATTTCGCTCGAGACCTTCTCAACACATCCTCATGCTAGACATCCGTCTGGGCGACCTGGACATTCTAAAACAAGCGTCTCTCTCTCGAGAGAGACACCCTCAACACATCCTCATGTTAGACATCTGCCTGGGCGACCTGGACGCGCGAAAAACAAGCGTCTCTCGAGAGACATCGTCAACACATCTTTATGCTAGACATGTGCCTTGGCAACCTGGAGGCGTGAAACCAAGCGTCTCTCTCTCGAGGCATCCTGAAGACCTGGGCACGTGACAACAAGCATTTCACCTGAGACACCCTCTGAACTCTGTTCCCTAGGAGAGGAGCGATCCATAGCACAAAACAAGCGTGTCGCTCGAGAAATCCTCAACACATCATGCACACCAAGCGTTTCGCTCGAGACATCCGCAGCAAACGAACATGCTTACTTTACCTTGTGTTTTATCGGTCGGAATTTCATCAACCAGCGTGTCGCCAGGGACGTCCTCAACTTTTTAATTCGCTGGCCCTCCTCGAATCGCAGAATAACTTCGCTGGCCCCCTTCAACTCGAGGCCCGGGGGTGAACCAGCTAATAGAGAACCCTGGGCTCTGGCCCTTTCCAGGAACAAACGACACCACCCTACCTACGGCCCTCCACGTTGCACTACGGCCCCTCGGGGGCCGTAGCGCATACCACGCAAAAGCCCACGCCAGATTTCCTGGAAAACGCTAAGCCCCGTGGGGCCGTAGGTGGGGTGGTGTCGTTCGTTTTCTGGTCCACCATCTCTTCGAGCTTGATCCAGATCTTGGCCCACAGGTTTGCCAGCGGCCTCGCACTCGAGCGGCACCAGGCCCTGTCACGACTCAGGCATCCCACCTCTTCGGATCTTGGCATTGTTCGGACGTGTGCATTTTTCGGTGAGGACCATCGAGGAACATCTTTCATGCATCATCGAGCAGAAAGAAAAACGCACGAAACCCAACAATGAATGGGGAATGGACGTCCGAGCGATGGCAAGGGATTGGCAGGTTCCATGTTGATCCGATCGATCTCGAGCTTTCCTCGATCCGATGCGGCCCCAAGCTTGCATGGCGCTGTTCTGCATCCTGGCGCGGCCGATTCGATTCGACTCCGACTCCCTGCCAATATGGCCCAATCCGACTCGCGTTCCGATTCGATCCGATTTTCCGATCCAATTCTGATTGATCTTTCCACCTCTGGTTTGGCCAAACAGACCTCGGTGACGCAGCTTGCAGTCTGAAGTGATTGCCGCAGTTCCCAAGGCTCGCCCATGGCTGGAGCAGGGGTCGCGGGAAAGGCAGTGGCCTGCAGACATTTTGGACACAGGCACAGGCTCGTAGATCCGAGGCGGGAATTTATACATCACCACCGCCCGGAGGATCAATTTTCGGGGACCTCGCAGGCGGTGGACATGAGCAACTCCCCGCCTCGCAGTGGATCCGCCTGGACTGCGGACCACGTCTCGGCTCCGCAGGACGAGCCCACACCCGGGGGCTCGCAGCGTCTTCGGTCTTCTCTCTCAGGCACGTCCGCTCCCCTCCACCCCTCTCTCGTCCTCTTCCCTCCCCGCCCCTGCTGCGTCCTCCCCCCCCTTCCCCCCTACACCCCCCCACAATGGCAGTCGGACCGAGGTGCAAGATCGAGACCGGTTTGGGGAGGGTATTCTCCCTGATGGTATTCGTGGTTGTTGGATGTTCTTGTGCATCCTGGAGGAGGGCACCCTTGGATGTTCTGTGTGTTTTGGCTGGTGGAGGGTCTCATCATCTTGAGGAATGCTCTTCTGTTTCCCTGAAGACGCGCTGAGAGCAGCGCGCGCCCCCCCTCCGCTGGTGGTTCGTTTTCTTTTACACTGGATGGCTGCGAGCTTGCTTTTTCTTGTGCTTTTCGATTCGAGCGTTTTCGGTCCCTCCAAGCGGTGCCCTCGCTGCAGCGTGGGCCTCGTTTTAGGATCGGCGCTTTGCCCCCGTCGTTCCGAATGGCGCTCTCGCCTGTTGACCCTCGTGGACACATTTATCTTGGACCCGAGTACTTCCTCGCCATTGTCGCTCCCTTCTTTTCCCCTCCCCCGCCTGCTCTTGGTCCTCCTGCTCCTCCCGTTCATCTTTCTCTCGCTGCTGCAGTTCCTCCTCGTCTCCTTCCTTCCTCATACTCCCCCTCTTCCTCCCCCACATCCGTCTGCTCATCTGCCACCTGCTCCTTCACTCCTCTCTTCAGATTGCGCGTAACATAGCGGGATCCTTTTTGGTGTTCCAGGTCCACCATAACATTTGTTGGCCCTGTTGGAGGATAGAAAATGTATCAGCGCAATGGGAAGACATGGGAGGGAGGGTTAGGACGCCAGGTATGGCGCGATCGCACCTAGCTCGCCCCTCTCCCCTCGGCCCCATCCCGCGCACTTGCCCCGGCCGCAGGTGCGAAGGCGTCGGGAGTGGGCGGAGAGGACCTTCGGCCGCAAAACTTCTTGGAGGAGGAGGAGGAGGATCTGGGGTAGTGGCGGGGGAGTGCCGCGGGAGGGGTGGACTGGGGGGAGGGGGGGAGGAGCGATGGAGGGCAGGGGGGGGATAAGGACAGGCGGGGATGGGCAGTGCATGGAGGGCGGGGAAGGGGGCGAAGCGCGGTGGCCCCGGCGACACGGGAGCTCCGAGACGGCTTTGACCGTCTGTTCAGGAAGCTCGCCGGTGCTTCCAAATGTCGGCGACGAGCCCTGGGGGGCTGTGCGAGTGGGCAGACTTTCTCAGGAGGCTCGGAAGTCCACCGGGCATTCTCAGAAGTTTTCTGGGCCTTCCCCGCAGACGCGGAGCACCTCTCAGAAGGCAGGCGGGCGTCTGAGAAGCCCCGCCGCCTTCTGAGGGGGCCTTCTCCTTCTCACTTCCCTCCCTCGCTCGCCGTCGAAATTGTTTGCGGACGGGGGAGGAAAGGAGAGGGGGGGGGCAAGGAGGGAGGGGATGGAGGAGGAGGAGGACGAGGAGGAGGACGAGGAGGAGGAGGCGGAGGAGGAGGAGGAGGAGGAGGAGGGAGAGGAGGATGAGGAGGAGGAGGAGGAGGAGGAGGAGGAGGGAGAGGAGGAGGAGGAGGAGGAGGAGGAGGAGGAGGAGGAGGTCACGGCGGCCCTGCCGGCTCCGAAGCTCAAGGCAGCCATGGTCAGTCATTCAGGGAGCTTGCTCCAGCGTTTGAGCGCCCCCTCCCCCCTGCATCCTCTCGGAGGTGGATAGACCTCCTACCCTGACACGTCGCTTAAGGACTTGGCCGTCTTCCATCCGCGAGAGGGCGTCGCGGCCGTCATTTTTGCGGGTCCAGGTCCATCGGTTTCGATCCCAGGCCGTTCTCATTAAGGGGAGGTTTACCAGGGGGAGGTTTGCCGACTGCCGATCATCCCTTCCCTCCTCTTTCCCTCCTCCGCCCCTTACTGCTCCCTGTCGTGTCGTTGTCGTCCGTCGTCGTCGGCGCTGTCGCCCCGCCCAGGGCCGCGATCCTTTGTCAATTACGCTGCATCCGCTCTTCCCGGGCCACGATACCTGGTAAACTAAGCTGCGTCCACGCTCCCATGGCCACGATCCTCCGTAAATCACACAGCATCCGCTCTCCCAGGGCCCCCCCCGGGCATCCTTGGGCGCTCAGTCAAGCAGTGGCGAAGCGTCCTGGCTCGCCTATAGCCCTACCAAATAATGTTCTAAGAACCTTTCGTGGTTTCCACGAAATGTTCTTAGAACATTGCTGGCGGAGATTGTCTTGTTTTATCACATCGGGTTTATGTTCTAAGAAAATGGTTTTTGTTCATGGAACACTGTGGGGTTCTAGGAACATTTCGTGGTAGGACTATAGGAATGCCGGGACGGTCGGTCCCTGCTCAACTCAGGTTCCTTGAAGTCTCCAAAACAGGCGTTTCGCTCGAGGCATCCTCAGCGAATTATGCAAAACGAGCGTTTCGATAGAGAAGTCCGCGACAAACGAAAGTGCTCATTTTACCCTTAAGTCGGGCCTGTCCCCCTACAGGGGGATTTTCGACGAAAGATTAAAAATACGCCAAACGTAGTCCAAACGTAGTCCAAAAACAGTCCGGGGATTATTTTTATTTCGACGAAAATCCCCCTGTAGGGGGACACGCCCGACATAATTTTACCCTTTTCGGGCGAAGAGAACTATGCACATGCACCGATCCTGGCAAGGCCCATTTTTGACCCAGGATCGGTGCATATGCCTTCCTGGCCAAGGTAGGAGGGCGTATGCACCAATCCTGGGCTCAGGATGGGCCTGGCCAGAATCGGTGCATGTGCATAGTTCTTTTCCCTCTACCTTTGGCTTTACCGATCGGAATTTGAACAGCCAGCGTTTCGCTCGGGATCCTCGGGTTCTGCTTCGCCGGCCCTCTTCGACGGCCGGCCGGCCCTCTTCAAGCCGATTCCGTGGGGGAATACACGTACTAAAAGGAAACCTTGGGCCCGAAACCTAAAAAGGAAACAAGCATTCCACTCGAGAGATCCTCAGAATTCTGGTCCCCAATATGATAATTTATAACACAAGACAAGCGTTTCGATCGAGACATCTTCAATACATTTTAATTCGCTGGCACACCTCGACCTCGATATTGATCGCAAAAGACATCCGCCAGCCCACCCCAAGTCAAACCCTGGGGGAAACCCACTAAAAGAGAACCCTGGGCCTGAGCCCTTTCCGGGAAAAAAATCAGGACGAAAGGTTTGGGTAGTTTTTGGCCTTTGGGGGCTCTCGCTGGGCCTCGGGACCGTCAAAGAACGACTCAGGGTGAAAAATTGGTGCCGGCAAAAGGGTCGGGACTTCCGGTGACCGCGTATTGAAACATGATCGACCCACGAACCCGGAAATGGAATATTGAGATGTAAGGCATGGCAACGTGTCAAAGACACTTGATTGGGCGACGGGCAAATGCAATGTCGAGCGTATCGATCTTGATGTACCGTACCGAGGGCTGTGCTGTGCTGCGCCGTGCTGAATTGCGATGTGCCCTGCCGCGATTGTGCTCTATAGCGTGGTGCATCGAGTCCTCCTTTGCATCCGAGTCCTGACCGAACTGATCTGGATCTCTAGCTCGAGCTGCCTGAGCACATAGTAGCTGCCCCAGAGCTAATTGACAGGGGGACATGCCAGGAGGACGAGCTGCGGAACGTCCCAAGAGACGAGCCAGGGCACGTGCCAGGGGACGTGCCGTGGGGACGCATCGCGGGACGTACCAAGGGGACGCGCTACGGAACGTGCCAATGGACGTGCCACGGGACGTGCCAGGGGACGCGCCGCGCGGCGTGCCAGGGGGACTCGCAACGGGACGCGCAACGGAACGCGCCTGGGAACGCGCCAGGCTGTTATGCTGAATGTATCGATCTTGATGTACCGTGCCGAGGGCTGTGCTGTGCTGCGCCGTGCTGAATTGCGATGTGCCCTGCCGCGAGTGTGCTCTATAGCGTTGTGCATCGAGTCCTCCTTTGCATCCGAGTCCTGACCGAACTGATCTGGATCTTTAGCTCGAGCTGCCTGAGCACGCAGTAGCTGCCCCAGAGCTCATTGACAGGGGGGCATGCCAGGAGGACGCGCCGCGGAACGTCCCAAGAGACGCGCGAGGGCACGTGCCAGGGGACGTGCCATGGGGACGCACCGCGGGACGTGCCAAGGGGACGCGCTACGGAACGTGCCAATGGACGTGCCACGGGACGTACCAGGGGACGCGTCGCGCGACGTGCCAAGGGGATTCGCCACGGGACGCGCCACGGAATGTGCCAGGGAACGCGCCAGGTTGCAATGCTGAGTGTATCGATCTTGATGTACCGTGCCGAGGGCTGTGCTGTGCTGCGCCGTGCTGAATTGCGATGTGCCCTGCCGCTATTGTGCTCTATAGCGTTGTGCATCGAGTCCTCCTTTGCATGCGGGTCCTGACCGAACTGATCTGGATCTTTAGCTCGAGCTGCCTGAGCACGTAGTAGCTGCCCCAGAGCTAATTGACAGGGGGACATGCCAGGAAGACGCGCCGCGGAACGTCCCACGAGACGAGCCAGGGCACGTGCCAGGGGACGTGCCATGGCCACGGGACGTACCAGGGGACGCGTCGCGCGACGTGCCAGGGGGATTCGCCACGGGACGCGCCACAGAATGTGCCAGGGAACGCGCCAGGTTGCAATGCTGAGTGTATCGATCTTGATGTACCGTGCCGAGGGCTGTGCTGTGCTGCGCCGTGCTGAATTGCGATGTGCCCTGCCGCGATTGTGCTCTATAGCGTTGTGCATCGAGTCCTCCTTTGCATGCGGGTCCTGACCGAACTGATCTGGATCTTTAGCTCGAGCTGCCTGAGCACGTAGTAGCTGCCCCAGAGCTAATTGACAGGGGGACATGCCAGGAGGACGCGCCGCGGAATGTCCCAAGAGACGCGCGAGGGCACGTGCCAGGGGACGTGCCGTGGGGACGCACCGCGCTCCGCGAGACGTGCCAAGGGGACGCGCTACGGAACGTGCCAATGGACGTGCCACGGGACGTACCAGGGGACGCGTCGCGCGACGTGCCAGGGGGATTCGCCACGGGACGCGCCACGGAATGTGCCAGGGAACGCGCCAGGTTGCAATGTTGAGTGTATCGATTTTGCCGAGGGCTGTGCTGTGCTGTGCTGCGCCGTGCTGAATTGCGATGTGCCCTGCCGCGATTGTGCTCTATAGCGTGGTGCATCGAGTCTTCCTTTGCATCCGAATCCTGACCGAACTGATCTGGATCTTTAGCTCGAGCTGCCTGAGCACGTAGTAGCTGCCCCAGAGCTAATTGACAGGGGGACATGCCAGGAGGACGCGCCGCGGAACGTCCCAAGAGACGCGCGAGGGCACGTGCCAGGGGACGTGCCATGGGGACGCACCGCGCACCGCGGGACGTGCCAAGGGGACGCGCTACGGAACGTGCCAATGGACGTGCCACGGGACGTACCAGGGGACGCGTCGCGCGACGTGCCAGGGGTATTCGCCACGGGACGCGCCACGGAATGTGCCAGGGAACGCGCCAGGTTGCAATGCTGAGTGTATCGATCTTAATGTACCGTGCCGAGGGCTGTGCTGTGCCTGGGCGACCTGGACGTGAAAATAAGCGTTTCGCTCAAGATATTCTCATGACAGCCTCATGCTAGACATCCGCCTGGGTATCTTGGAGACGTGCAAATAAGCGTCTCGATCGAGACTTCCTCAACACATCCTGATGCTAGGCATCCGCTTGGGCGACCTGGATTCGTGAAAACAAGCGTCTCGCTCGAGACATCCTCAACAAATCCTCATGCTAAACATCAGCCTGGACAACCTCGACGCGTGAAACCAAGCGTCTCGCTCGAGACATCCTCAAGACCTGGGCACGTGAAAACAAGCATTTCACTTGAGAGATCCTCTGAATTCTGGTCCCAAGGAGGACAATCCATAACACAAGCAAGCGTTTCGCTCGAGACGTCCTCAACAATTTCAGCAAAACAAGCGTTTCGCTCCAGACATCCTCAAATGTTCATTCGCCGGCCCTGCTCGACTTCGTCTTTTATTGCAGATTCAGTTCACCGGCCCTACAGCCGTCAATTCCGGGGGGGAACAGCGAAAAGAGAACCTTGGGCCGGAGCCCTTTCCAGGAAACATCAGAACGTCGCATATCTGAGTCTCCCCCCCAGCCCGCCCCCATCCCCTCCCTCCTCGCCAGCGGCCGCAAAGCGCGCAGGAGCATGTGCGGGTCGCGAGACGAGATCAATTGGCCCGAGCTCGCGGGGGCCTCAGGAGGGACATGGATAGATTTTGCTTGGGCTGGCGTGGAGAGCAGCGACCGTGGGAGGGGAATACTCTGCCAAGTGAGGCTCATCTTTCCTGCGCCCGCGCGGTCGAAGGATCTAGATGTTGAGCTTCAGGAGTTGCTCAAGCGAGCTGCGTCAGCGCGAACATTGAATACGTTTACAATCGTGCACTTTCGGTCGCCTGTTCAGATTCGTATTTCGAAGAGTGGTCGTGATTCAATGCTTCCACTGTGAAGGATTCTTCGAGCTGAGTGTCGAAACGTATTGACATATAAGTCATCAGTCCTAACTCCCGCTAATTTCTGGCAGTCTAGTATTGTATGTTAGTCTGAACGTGTTCGACCCTTGTTCGGCTACATTAAATCTTCGACACTGTGGCGAGTTTGGATTCGGATCGATGGGGCGTGTCGTAATGCTTTCGCAGGTGCACGGTCGACGTGAGGACCAGCCGCGTCAATCTACATGCAGTCGGTTCTCGTGTTACCAGGCTTCACGTGCATCGACCGTCATACGTACACCAAGCGTCTGTCCATCATCGTCACAGCCATCGTCATATTCACAGCGATTCGCGCACTACGTCGTGACTACCAAAGGTGTGAGGCCCTTGTCGGGTTATGTTTGGGCTATCAGCAAGCAAGGCGTCGATGGATACGTATCATCAAACATGATCGACCCACGAACCCGGAAAGGAATATAGAAATGAAAGGCATGGCAACGTGTCAAAGACACCTGATTGTGGGCGACGGGCAAATGCAATGCTGAGTGTACCGATCTTGCTGTACCGTACCGAGGGCCGTGTTGTGCTGCACCGTGCTGAAATGCGATGTGCCCTGCCGCGATTGTGCCCTCTAGCGTTGTGGATCGAGTCCTCCTTTGCATCCGAGTCCTTACCGAACTGATCCGGATCTTTAGCTCGAGCTGCCTCAGCACATAGTAGCTGCGCCAGAGCTAATTGACGGGGACATGCCAGGAGGACGCGCCGCGGAACGTCCCAAGAGACGCGCCAGGCGACGTGCCAAGGGGACGTGCCATGGGCCATGGGGACGCACCGCGGGACGTGCCAAGGGGATGCGCTACGGACCGTGTCAATGGACGTGCCACGGGACGTGCCAGGTGACGTGCCGCGCGACGTGCCAGGGGGACTCGCCACGGGACGCGCCACGGAACGTGCCAGGTTGCAATGCTGAGTGTACCGATATTGATGTCCCGTGCCGAGGGCTGTGCTGTGTTGCGCCGTGCTGAACTGCGATGTGCCCTGCCGCGGTTGTGCTCCATAGTGTTGTGGGCTGAGTCCTCTTTTGCGTCCGAGTCCTGACCGAGCTGATCTGGATCTTAAGCTCGAGCTGCCTCAGCACATAGTAGATGCCCCAGGGCTAACTGACAGGGGGACATGCCAGGAGGACGCGCCGCGGAACGTCCCAAGGCACGCGCCAGGCGACGTGTCAGGGGACGTGCCATGGGGACGTGCTATGGGGACGCACCGCAGGACGTGCCAAGGGGACGCGCTACGGAACGTGCCCATGGACGTGCCAGGGGACCCATGTGTTTTCAGGTTTGCCCCGCCCTGGGGCGTTACGAGCCCATGCGTTTTTACATTCCGCGCTGGGGCGTTAGGATGTGCTTTCGCGCTTCTCACCGCGTTGGGGCGTTAGGAACCATGTGTTTTCGCGCTTGCTCCGCCTTGGGGCGCTAGGAACCCATGTGTTTCCACACTTGTCCCGCTGTGGGGCGTTAGGGACCGATGCGTGTTCGTGTTTTTCGGGGGGGGGGCGGAAAACGCTCCCCGAACACATGCCCAATACAGACAAACTCATCCTGGGGCCTCCTGGGGGCGGGGGGGCGAAAAACGCACCCCGAACATATATCCCAATACAGAACAATGCTTCCTGAGGCCTCGCGAAGCTTCCTGGAGCCGCCTGGGGCCTCCTGGGGCCCCCTGGGGCGTTCGGAACCAATGTGCTGTTGCACTTCTCCCGCCCTGGGGCGTTGGAAACCAATGTGTTTTTGCGCTTGTCCCGCCCTCGGACGTTAGGAACGATGTGTGTTTCACGTTTCTCCCGCCCTGGGGCGTTAGGATCCATGTGTTTTCATATTTCTCCCACCCTCGGGCGTTAGGAACCCATTTGTTTTCTCGCTTCTCCCCCGCCCTGGGGCGTTAGGGGCCATACATTTTCACGCGTGTCCCGCTCTGGCGCGATAGGAAGAATGTGTTTTCACGTTTCTCGAGCCTCTTGGGGCCTCCTCGTGGGTGGGGTGGGGGAAGCCAAGAGCTTTTCCCGAATACGTATCCCACTCAAGGACATACGTAAAGTAAGCTTCTCACCTGAGACATCCTCTGAATTGTGGCCCCCATGAGAGAAACAACATATAACACAAAACAGACGTCTCGCTCGAGACATCCTCAACCAATTCTGAGAACATATTATAGTTTCGTTCGGGAGGTCCTCAACAATAATATCACTGATAACACAAAACAAACGTTTCGCTCGAGATATCCTCATACATTCATGAAAAATACGCATTTCGTTCCGGACCTCCTCAAACATAATTATGCTGGCCCTCTTTCTGCCTCGGTATTTAGCGTAGAATAATTAATTCCGCGGGCCCTCTTACCGTCGGGTCCGGGGGGGACCTCTAAAAGAGAACCCTAGGCCTAAGCCCTTTTCCGAGAAAAAACAGCCGACGGGTCCAGCCTTAGAACGAGATGAGGGCTTACGCCGGCGACGTCCCAGAGGCAGTGGCGATTCCTGCCGCCGCACAAGAGCTACGCGATGCAGGGCTACCTGAGCCAGACGACCAGCCGCGTGGGACCGCGCTTATGCTGACTCGCATGGGTACTACGATCGACATGCGTGGGGACACGCTTATGACGCCTATGACCCACGCAATGCGCGGGGACACGCTACGGCAGCGCACTGGAGTAATCTTTGATTTGGCAGCTGATGATACGATCGACGTTGGAAGGGGTCACTCCAGCGTTGGTTCATTCAGGGCCTCCTGCCCCTCGAACTCGCTCGCTCGCGTGGCCCAGTGGGGGCGCCATGCCGCTGGGATGACCCGCCAGCCTTGCGCCGTGTCCTGGGCCGGCCTGGACTATTAGATTGCGCGTCGGTGCGCCGAAGAAGCAGCGCGCCATTGGCATTCCAAGAGGATCCTCGAGCGCGACGACACAGGCAAGATCATTCGGGCTTCGGAGGGTCGCCGCGCGCTCGTGGGCGCGCAAAAGTGCGAGGCACCAAGCGGGGCCGCATCGGCCACCGCTCAAGGCACCGCATCTGCGCGTGCTCCGAGTGCCAGGAGCACCGCCCCCACTGTCCTATGGATAGTGGCAGCAGGTCGCCCAAGCAGGGCCTCTCGCCATTTTTGCCGCGGCATGTCGACAGCATCGCGCGAGACGTGCCGGCGACGTCTCAGGGCAATGCGTGCAACATTAGGCCATCGACCACGACAGCATCGCGCGCGACTGGGGCGATCTCCCATACGACCGCGAGTTCGAGGAGTTCAACCGGTTCTGGCACCGCGGCTAGGGGGGCGATCGCGGAGATGTCGATGCTTGCGGAGACGTTGATGCTGAGCCTGAAGGCGAAATTTGACAAGCGCGCTGAGCCTGCATCCTCGGGGCCACCAGCCTTTTCCAAAAAGAATGCCAGCCGGACTCGCCATGTCCATCCTCGGCCCACCCCAACGCAGTTGAATCAGATTCTCCCCTGGCGGAGACGCCAACAGGGTCCGAGGATAAGGAAAGCGCCCGCTCGGGAGAAGTCTTCATGCCCACCGCGAAGCGCGCGACCGATCAGTCTGCCCCGGGCGGGGCCGGAAAGCGACCTGACACCCGGGGGGCCCAATTGGCCTTCAGAAGTTCAAGCGGGGGCGCTCTGCTGGGCCAGGCGCGGCAGCGGCAGACTGCGAGGTTTTAGGAAGTTCAACGCCAGCACCTGGACGGCCCGTTGCTGCTCGGCCTACGGAATCGGATCAGCGGGCATTTCGCGCAACGGCGACCCGCTTTGAAGCCGGCAACTGCTCGGGGCAAGGGCCCAGAGTCAACGGCCGTCTCGTCGCCAGGCGAGAACGCTCCTCATCTTGGAGCTGATTCTCGCGACCTGCGTCGTAGTGGAGCAGTGGCGCAAATTGCGGCAATCCCAAACTCCGCGGGAACGCGCGCCAGAGGCCGATGACCCAGAACGGCCACTTGCGAGAGCGAGCGCGCCAGACTTGCCAATGACGCAGGTGGGCGGGAACGCCGGCGGGCGCGCAATCTCCTCTGCCGCCCAGTTGGATGGCAGCGGATGCGGGCGCCACTTGCAGAGTAGAATAGAGGGTGCCTCCCAAGCTCTACCGAGCTGAACATCATCGGCAAGCAATTCCCATGGATCTAACGCCACCGACCCTTCGAATGCCGCAGCGGCAGGGACCAGTGCGACAAGGCGTTCTTCGTCGAGCTCGAGGGCTACAACGTCACCGACGGCGGGGCAGAGGCGTCGGGCACGGCGCGGCAGTGACGCGCGATGGGCACGAAGAGGAGGACGTGGACTTCATCGCGTTGGGCGTCGCGATGGTCGCGGAGATCGAGGATCGGTCTGCGGCGCAGGAAGGCCGACGCAGCGGCCGCCGCGAACGTGCGCAGGTATGCAACAGGGAACTTGCTGCGGCGCAGCAGCTCGCGCGCCCTGCAATCGCTATCCGTCGATGCTGTTCGCATTGCACAGGAGCTACTGGAATCGCCCGTCGACCATTCTGGCAAGAACGCACCCCAGTCTATGTCATAGTGCTGGCTTCGATCTGGCGCCGTCATCCGACCGCCACCTGGCGGTCTTGGCAATCCAGCGCGCGTGGGCAACATCCGAAAGGATCCACAAGGCCATGCACGGGGTCCGCCAACCTGCCGATGGTTTGATGTTGATCCAATCTGATGGGAGTGCGGGAGTAGAGAATAACCACGGGTCGAACAAGGCAAGACACCTGCGAATTCCCGG